CGCGACCACTTCTAGAACGCGGTGGCTGATAAAGGACTGGAACTAGAACGCCGTCGTTTGCGCGCGAAAAGTAAAGTTAAGATCTCCGTCGCGATGCAAGACGACGCGGCTGCAAACCGCTCTTTATCAGTGTGATTCTTCGGCAATTCTTTCGCAGAAATAGCCATGACATCATTTAAGAAAGTCCAAGAAATGCTTTGTTTGTGCCTAGTAGAAGAAATCATAGACGAAGAAGAGTTTGTTCTGCTTTACGATACATACAGGCCGAGGAATCTTCCTTTTCCTCACACGGCGTATGAAAAGTTTTCCCTCGCGAATGAAGACCCAGCCGAATGTAAAGCCAATTTCCGAGTGGAAAAGAGGGACATTCCTTTGCTTGTTGACGAATGTTGGCAGTTTCTGGTCTGTATGACGATTGGCAAATTTTGCTTTCTGTCCAGCCGGCAGAGAAATGTGTTTATATGGTGACCCAGCCTACCCGCTTAGAATCCACCTCCAAGCTCCTTTCCGAGTTGGGGTTTTAACCAGACAAATGGAAATTTTCAAAGAAAAAATGAGTGCAGTACGTGCATCTGTAGAGTGGTTATTCGCAGACATCATCAACTATTTCAAATTTCTAGATTTTAAAAAGAATTTGAGGATAGGTTAAAGTCAAGTTGGTAAGATGTATTCTGTGCAATTCTACGAAACGTTTTAACCTGCCTTTATTCCAACACAACTGCTGAGTAGTTTGGTGTTGACCCTCCATCATTGCAAGACTATTTTCGCTAACTCTAAGTTTACAGCTTGAGAACAAAACAAAAGCTGGATAATATATAAACTGAAGAACTGTAAAGAGATATTGTATGACAAAAGGTTTTAAAATGTGTTCTTTCTGTCTCCCAGAAATATATATGTTATTAAAACAGTAGTAGCAACTTTAACACTGAAGGAAATAAATGGCCTGGAATAACATTACTCAAGAGACTGTTTATGTGAAGCAAAGCTTCAAGTTCAACTTAACAACACAACAACAACTGAATATGAAAGTGTTTCTTTATAGACACTGAATAACTACTTATTTATTATTTTTTCCAATAACACCATCAAAGCCTTTGACTGCTGCTGATGCTGCTGCATCATCATCATTTGAGCGTTGAGTAACTGCTGTTGGCTTTCTTGCTGTTGCTGCTGCATAAGTTTTAGCATATCTGCTTGTTGCTTTTGCATTTGAATTTGATGTTTACTCAAAACCTCCATGTTTTCTCTCGAGAGAGTTTGCTGATCTCTCTTCGTCTTTAGGTCTTCCTCTTTCAGTTGATCACTTACTTTAGCTCTCTCAGCTAAGTATTCGATAGCATCACCTCCACTTATTCGTTGACACTTCGGTTTGTCATCGCTTTCATCCGCTGATGAACCTCTTTTCTTCGTCTCTGACAGCTTTTCTATCGCTTTTAGTCTAACATCTTCCGCTTTAGCCCGATCGTATTGAAGTTTTTTGCTAGCTGTTCCCTGTGTTTCCTGTTATTCCGCTTCGCCACTTTCGTCCAACGCGATGATCATATCCAGTAGGTTTTCCAGTTTGGCTCATCGGGAGTTATCCCAGTTGCTTTTTCCTCCGCTAGAAGTTTCTTCTTATGCTTGTAAACAAGGATTCCCACGTGGTCTCGGATTGATCGCTTATCAACCCTGAATTTCGGCACAGTGCATTTAGATTTGTTCAAGGTGTCTGCTATTTTTTCCCACATACTGCTTCTTTGCGTTGACCCTTTCTTACTTGTGTAGGGATTTACATTGACGACTTCTCTGCAAAGAATGGCTTCATGATCATGTGTCCAAAACATTACTGAACTAAAGGGAAGCATAAAAACACACACAGTTTAATAAAATAAAATTAAATAATACAGGCTTAAATTGGCTTTTAGCGGCAGATGAACGCAATAAATCGAGAATTGCAACGGTACGAGAGACGAGAAGAGTATGCAGAAGACTCCTGCATTCACTATTTGCATTTTTAGCTCGTGACTTACTTGCAAGCCTTGCTCGAAGTCGAAGTCGAAGGCGCTGCCATTTTATAAGCTTCGTACACCTGACAGAAAATTTAAAATAATCAAAATCCTTCCATCTCTGCGATCTAAAATGTCGCCAGAAATTAGGTCCAATGATCCTAGAATTTACATGTTTAGATGAATGTATCATCATGTAAACTGTAAGCGTTGCCTGATCTCCTCATCGCTTTTTGAAGCGTCGGCAGTCGGTGTTCCCTCTCTTCATCGGCTCCATTTGCAGTGTAATTGTAGTATTTTGTCGCTGCCTCTGTAAATGTTTGTGGTTGCTGTGTTGACGACGTTGCCTTCGCTGTGCTAAGCGATGTTATCCGATCCGTGCTTTGCACGCGGCTTCTTGTCGTCGTCGTCTTCTCCACTCGCGACGAATTTTAGTCGGCGTTCTCCAGAGGAGTTTCGGTTAAAAATCGGGGATTTCCAGCCACTTGTTGTGCTTGTTGTTCTGTGTCATGTGAATCGGAAAATTCACCGATTGTAAACATTGTTTCATAGATGAATATTCATGAAAGAAAACACATGAGCCTTTCGTGGATAATACATAAAAATGCGCCGGTCATCAGAGGCAAAGTCTATGTTGCGTGGAAACGCAAAATTCTCCATGACGTTGGGCTACATGACGTCATTGGCGGACACCAAGCATATATTCACAGAAAGGTTGGTACATTTATGGCGCATCGAATTTTGCATCTGGCTAAGACCACGCGCGGTTCACGTGATCCACGCGCGCGCAAAGAGATTATAAACTCGCTTCGCTCGCGGCCTTCGGCCGCTCGCTTTGCGAGAATAAACTGTCTTCCTATAATTTCTTTGACATTCACTGATAGTTGCCGACGTGCGGCAAATATGAGTAAAAACTGGCTGCATTTTTCACTTCCTTTCACGGGCTAAGACAAACTCAACAAGTTGGCCTGCTCCCAATGTGTGGGGTGAGGTCTCTGTAGCGCAGTTGGTAGAGCACTGTAGCGCTAACGCAGGGGCCATGGGTTCGAATCCCGTTGAACTCCCGACTTTTCTTTCCGGGTTAATTGGCAATTGCTTAAATTGCAATTACCACTGCAACGATCATGTCTTCACTTAAATTTGTTTAGTTTTTATTAGCAGCACAGATCTCAGGTCTGTTTCTGAGGTTTTAGCTGGCAGATCTTTTGAATTAAAGTTTACTGTTAGGACTTGAAATATGAATGTAAGATTGACGCTTGCAGCTTTGATATCGACGCCAACGAGAATGGCAAAAAATCAATAGGCTAATGATTAGCAAAACAACAACTTTGCACATTGCAGCACGCTTTTTTGTACATTTCTTTGCCGTAGTTGCACGACTATGACGTCAGTGAAACTTCCTATTTCACGTTTTCTGGATGATGCGAACACAAGACAACGATTTTCTGATTCTTTTGTTTTAAACTTAGATACAATCCTTTAGAATTCAACCCCAGAAAAATTCACCAACACTTGAAACATTCAACGCGAATTTTGAAACAGTGTGAATTCACTTTTTGAGAGACGTTTTCTGTTTCACCACCGCCGCCGTCGTTGTCGTTGTCGTCGTTGTTGTCGTCGTTGTCGTCGTCGTTGTTGTCGTCGTCGTCGTTGTCGTTGTCGTTGTCGTTGTCGTCGTTGCTTAAGCCAGCTCCCTACANTTCTTTTGTTTTAAACTTAGATACAATCCTTTAGAATTCAACCCCAGAAAAATTCACCAACACTTGAAACATTCAACGCGAATTTTGAAACAGTGTGAATTCACTTTTTGAGAGACGTTTTCTGTTTCACCGCCGCCGCCGTCGTTGTCGTTGTCGTCGTTGTCGTCGTCGTCGTTGCTTAAGCCGGCTCCCTACAGTTTCGCTGGCCACCACATTTTGAGCTCTTTGTTTCCAGTTGAACCTTTGCAGCTAAATTTTACTTATCGTTTTAATTATAGGAAACTTCATCACCTACTTTTTGCTTCAGGAGGGAGTATTCACTGCGTTAGACTCGTAATCCGGCGATCTCGTGTTCGAGTCCCGTTCTGGCCACTGTCTTGATTTGTTCTCGGTCAGTCCCGAGTTTAAATCCTCTGTGCACAACGCTTGTTAAATAGCCAACTTATTGCCTCCTGACAATTGGGGTTTTTATTATAACCTAACTGCACTTTCACAAAGAAACAAACCTTTTACGTCGTAACCTTCCATCAAGCTTTCTAGGCCTTTGTAAAAGGTTTTCGGTCATAACGGCATTTCCAAGATTGTTTCCTAAGACTGACGAGATCCAGTTTCAGGTTATAAAAGGCTCGGCAGAGGAAGTTATCCGCGTTAGCGGATAATACCCTCGTCGATCTGCGTAATTCATCATGCATATTATACTCAGCCTTATCCAATAATTGCTAATAACTGATATCTATTTTGCTTTCATGCAGGGACACTTCTTGGTGCTTATCGCATGGGAGATATTCTCACGATCAGACGCAGATGTCTGATTAACCCTTGTAGACTCAGCCACCTCTCAAACCTTTAGTGAACTGGACACTCGCAAGTCTGGGATAAGAATAGAGGTAGGTATAAAAGAGCTAGAAATAACAATGTGTCTGTGGATTTAATTCCTTGGAGGGCTGAGAACTCATCAACTGGTGTTACAACAAAAGTTATTCTGCACGAGGCGTATTCGGTTGATGTATTAGAAGGAGAACGCATTCTGGCGAGACATTGCCACAAACTGCAATCTTTTCTACAGTCGTAGGTTGTGCCACCCAAGCAAATTAATGTCCACGGTATTCTTTATACCTTCGGTGCGTTTGGAGTGCAGTTTCCGTACAAGTGGAAATGTTGGGTGCCCTGTTAAGAATAAGTCGCGGATGTTGAATTCAGAGACTTTATTTTTGGTGCCCTGTAAGCTTTGGCTCTGGTGAGTTATATCAGCGGGTGGATAGAAGTGAGCCGGTGACTTGCGCGGCAATGCAAAGTGAGGGAGTTGGAAAGCCTGTGCACATACTTACTTTGTTCAAACGTGACGCGAATGTTGATACTCTCACAACTTGCTTTGAATTAAACAATTATCTCTTTCTTGTAATAATCTCTTTAAGTGAAAATATAGAAATACTTCGCCGCTCTGGACTGAATGAAACCCTTTTTGACAAGTGATACCAGTGACTTTACGCAACGGATGGCAGAAAGAAGAGAAAGACGCGGGTAAAATTCTTGTGTGGCGGGACAAACGTTACAGGGCTTTAACTTGCGTGTTTTGTCGTGTTATTTACTTAACATTAATTTGTTCTGTTTTTTTTTTTTACAAAAAAATCTGTGTCAAGGATGTTGACGTTTGGTGGAAAGTTTTTTCAAAACAAAATTACTGTCATGCTTTCCAAACAAAGTTTGCGGTCTTGTTTCCTTCCCGTCCTGTTGCGTTTGTTCACTAAAAATTAATCATGTCGATTCTAGGAAGCAGCAAAACGCTGGTTGTGGAACATCCAGACTGGGAAATTAGCACTTTTCTGTTAGCTGCTATCAAGCCTCAGTCAGGCAAAATGATATTCAAGATTTGGTCAGTATTATCAGTTTACTGGTTAGATATTATTAGTTATTCACAGCCTTACAAGTCATTAGGCTAATTTAGCATCAGAACGGGAACTTCATTTGATGACGGCAAAGCGCGCAGAAAGGACTAAACTCGACTTCCGGTGCCCAATTTGCCGCTCTACCATCAGTTCAAGCCAGTTGTTCGATTTGCGCGCGCCGTCGTCAACTGACGTTCCCGTTCTGTTGCTAAATCAACCTATTTTTGAAATGAAAAGTCACTAAACCTCATTTATTGATATTCATTCTTTTAGCCTTAATGTGTGTTTCTCAAGATCGATCCTTCAGAAATTTGCAAGGTGCTACCTTGCAGCTTCCTTGCCTAGACGAGCCTAGTCCCTGCACGCACTGCGTTTTCTCAGGCCTTCTCAGTTAATTCACCTCGGTGACGTATCCGAGCGGTCTTTCGGACCATGTGACCCCGAACGCATTGCCCGTGTGGAATAATGGGCCTTTGTCACGCGGGTGCCATTTTGTCCCGAGAGATTAAAGTATAGCTTTGTCTTATAGCCTCTCTCGCATGTTTTTTTTTTCACTGCGAGGTCGATGTTTGGTCGATGGTGGTAATACAAAACTTTTTTCCGTCTCTAGGGACAAGATGGCCGCCGTGTCAATACTAAGACCCGTGAGGCCTAGGGACTAGGCAAGCAGCTTCCTCCTAAATAACTGATTCAAACCGATATCAGTTTTGTTTTACTTATTTCTGCAAACCGATATCCGTAGGAAAAATAGTGACTCTTTTCACACCATAAACAGCATTTGACATGTTTGAGAAGAACTTAGAGGTCTCAGGATATAACTTAAGAGCAAGCACTTGCACCAGGCCTAACCAAAAAGTCAGGCAAGCGCATTGCCATCCACCTGTCCAGTGACGGCCATGAACAGCTGTTTTGCCCTTATATTTATAGGGCTCATCAGCATGGCGTAGCCGCCGGACTTGCTCGGGTACGGATAGGGCTTTCCGCATGTGCGAGGTACTACGACGACGACCACAACGACGACTTCAAAAAACAATAGGTTTAATTTAATGATCAAAACAAAAGCTCTGCACGTGCATCACGATTTTTAGTACATTTCTTTGACGTCCACTGTACGACTACGACGTGAAACTTCCTAATCTGCCGTTTTATGGAGGACGTGGACATACGACGAATTTTGCTTCCCCTTTTTGAACCTGAATAAAATCCTTAAGAAATTCAACTTCAGGAAAAGTCGCCTGCACTTTGACATATTGTGCGGGTGATTAACTTTGAAAGAACGCAAATTCATTTTTTTACCGACGTTTTCACTGCCGTCGTCGTCGTCCTTGCTTAAGGTCCCTAATAAAGGCGGGCGAGGGCAGAGAAACCGCGAGGAGATTGGGGCGGATTGGCTCGTTTGCACGCGGTTTGGGCGCATTTTTGCGGCTTCGCCGCTCAGTCGAGCTCTCGACAAAACCGCCATGCTACGCAGGCTAGGGG